GATCTTCAACAAACGTTTTGTTTATTTGTTTACATTACGATGTTTATGTTTTTTCTGCAAGATATTTTTAGCGGAAACGGTAAAGCAATGCGGATTGCGGAAGTTGAAAATTTTATGAAATGACATGTTTGCGAAGTGCAAACCGCGATTTTTTAATCAAACAAAAATTTATGACATTCGAGCCGCGAGATTTCATACCTACTGAAATTATATGATATTAGAGCCGCGATATTTCAGACAAAAATAGGACTTTTCCAGACTAGGGCTACGCTGCAGCATACAGGCAATACCTACAGCATATGCCATATCATATGGTATATGCAGTTACAAAGGCCTTAGGCCATTCAACTGCATCTAAAACTTGAGAATTCAGCAAATGCATCAGGAAAAGAATGGAGCGTTGGAGCCTAAGTTAGCACTTAGCAGTATCCACTATCCAGTATATGTTGGCTCAGACTGGCTCACTATAAATTATATCATTATATTGCCTATCTTTATAGTTTATACTATAAGGATAGTCAATCATGCTCCGTGCGGCGGTGTGGCGTGCTCTTTGTTCTTATCCGGAAAAGAACACATTGTGATCAGGTTTTAATGGACAAACAACTTTCGACAGTGAAGCGGTTGTGATGCCATATCAGTCATTGTCAGATAATATTTTTTATTTAATCTTAAAAATAGTTTTGGTCAGCGTAGAAACGGCTAAGAATGAGTAACAATTTAACAAACACCGGCAACTTGCGAATTATTCACGGATGGAGTCCATAAGGCGTGGCTATGATATTGCGTTAAAAATAACTATAATGCGTACATACACATATATCTTAGTATTTAGAGCTCCTGCATGAAGAAATTCATACAAATTCAACTAATAATTAATTATGACATACCATTTTTGAGTTAAGTTGGAGCAGACGTAATACACATGACAACAGCACCACATGAGGTGTCATGCAGAACTGTTCTTGCTTCCGATAGTGTGGGCGCTACTTTTGGTTTATTCTTCCGGCTAATTCAAATAAATCAAATTTGTAAAACTAAGACATGCAAATTTGTAATATTTTCATTCAGACGCGTTTCATTCAAAATTTGTTTCAGGCGCATCGCCTGAAACAGCAAAATGTGTATAAATATGAAACTAATATGCAAGCTGTAGCCTTACTAAAGAATTCGGACAATTCATATTAGGGATGAACTCGTTTGAGAGTACGGAGTGCTCCTCATCTGCAAATTGTTGTCGACAAAGAGACAGAGTTTGTGGGAAATATATTTAAATATGGATATTTTTGGGGAAATTTGTAGTTGAAGAAGTGAAATAATCTCCAATATTCAGATCTATCAACTCTTCATTAGTTAAGCTTTTCGTAGAAAAATTCAGCCTTCTCCATGTGTTTTCTACAATATTATATGTTACAATGAACTTTTTTAGTGCGACTCGAATTAATATCGACTTAGCGCATTGGCTCATCTTCCTCACCCGACCAGAACATTCCAGATTTTACGGATTAAATTCATGAATTCAAGCATGTACATAAACAACTTGTCAGCCAAACCAACTGACTGTGAAATAATGTTTTTCCAAATAGTTTATCCAAGAAAATAAATTTTAGTGTAGTACCATGAATACAGAAATATAAGCTGTTCAAGTATGAGTAATGCACCAATTTCCTTTATCGTTGAATGCAACAAGTAATTAATTGGGAAACGACACGCCAATTAAAACATTTGATTGTCTCGCTCCCACGTAAGAATTTGATACATATTTAATAATCAACTCTCCATACTATTTTGTAACATTTTCTGCTTGCGTAGCAACCGATTTACATAAAACATTTTGTCCTAGATAAAAAAACAAATTTGATTAGAATAATAAACAAATTTGTGACAGATTTACAAATCTGAGATGAAACGCCATTTCTGTTTAATTATAAATGTAAGCCATTTTATTTCAGTCACATCAATATATGTTCTTTAATGGAAGTATTCATAAAATGAGCATATGAGTATTACTAGGGCAAAAATTAATGCATTTGAGTAGAAAACTTTCAAAAATTTTACCATGATACATCATAATTGACGATTAAAGCATAATATTTGCGTCCTGTTGCCATCTTCGCACCCAAATACACTCAGGCCTCAATCTTGACTATTGCACATTAACTATTGCACATTAGCAATCACATATGAAAATCGAAAATGCAATTAGTTGAGTATTAGAATAGAAGTGTCGGCACTGAAGAAATAGGCCCATGGCCTGTTGCCTATTCTTATACTTTCCGTGACTTAATTCCACAAGGGATCCGGCCTTATGAACCCGACCTTTCCATAACTGACGAATTGATTGAGATAGCTGCTGGACTTATTGCAAGGCCCGTAAGATGCTAGGCATTTTAAGACTGAGCATATGCTCCTGCATAGCTTTATCTAGTCTGTTCTTGAAGGCGTTCATACTCGAAGCGTCAACGATGCTATCAGGGAAGCTGTTCCACATGTCGGTGACTCGAAGCGAGAAGAAATCTTGTCGCATGGATGTGTTACAACGCAGTTTTTTCTAGTTTATAGCGTGACCCCTGGTGTTGTTCTTGTTTCAAATTCCAGTAATCCTTCTGGGAGCTTGCAAAAACCGTGAGTATACTTGTATACTTCAATGAGGTCCCCACGCAGACGGCGATAACTGAGGCTTAGAAGCTTCATAATTTTTAATCTTTCTTCATAAGGCTTGCCTTTCAATCTCGGAATTATCCTTGTTGCACGTCTTGTGAACACTCTCGAATAAATTTTTGTCCTTTTCTAGTTTTGGTGACCACACTGCGGGTCTAGTATGTTGTGCGGAAATAATTAAAATAATAAGAAAGCAGAGGCATCCAACGTCAATGGGCGAAGACATTAAATTAACTTGACAGAGATGAGCCAACAATTCACGCGACGACATCGCTATTAAAGTCACCATCACCCCTACCTCGGCGCTGGCGAGGTCGGGCACGCCGCAAGACGCGAGTCTCCAGACGCTGTGCGCACCAACGTCCAATATCCCGCAACGTTGGCGGCAAGTTTTATACCCTGAAAACGACTTAATTCTGAAGAGCTTGAAACCACGCTTGTTATTATCCAAGACATTACTTGATAATTTCAAGGCTGACTACACAGTCTCTCGGTATTAAGTAACAGGTGTGCTCGAAAATAAAGACGAATTATGGTACGATAATCAGTTTTAGGTGCAGCGGGCAGCCAATGCAAATACTGTTATTAGATTCACAGCATCGAAAGTAATGTGTGTATTGACGCGTCATATTTACTGGCTCTCCAAGAATATGCTGGAGCTTGAACGACAGTTAGCAATCTACAGAGTAGACGAGTGGTTAATAAAGTGTGAATACTATACATCTAGTGACAGCGGTACGCGGGTACTCTCCAGTTACTAAGTGAACACTTTCAGGTTCATAAAAAGATGTTCAATTAGTTACAATTTACTTCAGAAGAAATGTTTGAAGCCGCACACAAATAATCAGGCAACAATTTGCACCAGTTGCTACACGCCCCAATATTTGGTCTCGCCGGCCTATCGCCTAAATTAAACCGAATACTTACTACAGGCACAAATTATACATACAATACAATAAGTACGGAAGAATGCAGTTGATGATGCACACTAATGTTTAATACGTAGCATCGGTGGACGCTGGACGCGACCTGTAAGTGGGAGTCGAACACAAAAAGATTGACCAGCTTTATATTAAAATAAACAAGTCCATCCACCAGGTTGTGGTTGTTTTCATGTTATTGTTAAAAATCAATTCAGTCAATTTCTTGGTCACAGAAATTTTGAAACAAAAATTTAAACGAGTACAGCTTAATTCATAATGAAAAACATAATTTTTTCTATTTTTATAATTCATATTAATAAGTGCATCGATAATAAAGCTAATTGAACACTTGGAAGAGGCTGACAAAAATTAAAATCAATGGAGCGTTACAAAGTAAACAACTAATTGAGCGTTTTTTCTAATGCAAACTAAGTGCCTATTGAGTGGAGGTCTACAACCGATCATTTATGGCATGACAATAGAGTATTATAGGCTGAGACTCGAACATGAAGCACAACAGAGTATACTTGAGACTTGAACATGAAGTATACTGCCCGGGTCTGAGTAGTGACAGCGGTCCTGGCGTGCTTGTACTGTAATGTGGTATATACACGGTATATGTACGGCATGTGATGTCTCGGTAGCGTACATTATACATGCACGATCGAGACACGAGGTATTATATTTGAGGACATTCATCAACAGACGTGTTGACAATTGCAACGGCGTTTATCAAGAGACTTATTGATCATTCTTTAGACATTTATTGACAGATAATATAACTGGCATGCATGAAGAGGCAAGATAAAGATTGAACCCGTACTAATGAAGAGTTTCTGCGATAATAATGACAAGAGCTCAGTTCTCGCAAGAGTTCAGTGCATAGTTTGCATGGTAATCGAAGCAAATTTAATGTCTTCCAATAACGAAGCGTCGCGCGTCGTAAGCTCTCTGTGCTCATCAGCGGCGACATGTTTACTCTCACAACATTATATCTCATTGTTATTGAATGATGATTTACTTTAAATAGTGTTTGTAAAAGATCGCCTGCCTTGTAAATTTACGCGACAGAACATCGATAAAAAAACATGAGATATCGGTAACCAAGTTAACCTAATGATTCCGTTCTCATTTCTGATAATGGTAATTTCAATTGTAAAAACCAAGTCATACAACTAAAAATTCAATGTTATTTGGTTCGTACTTGATCACTTATCATTATTTCTTAGTAAATAAACGAATTTTGCATACAACTCTCAGACTGAGTGGAGCTTGCCTAACGTCTGTGAACAGGCCTCGTTCACTAAAGATACACGGGTCAAAATTAAGCTGTGATATCACAACCTCAACATGTCGATTATTTTAGGCAAAGTCTGTGTACACGAGATGGACAATTCGTCGGTTCCTCAAGTTTATCCACGCGCCACATTCATCAAGCGAAATAGAGTCTTTGCTGTATGACACACAAACTGTGATCGGCTTGCGCTTCTATGAGGACAATGGAAAATATTGCTGAGTACTAAATAAAATCATCAAAATTCAAAATCACGCGGGCTACTGAAGAAATTCATTACAAGAGCTCATAAAATACAGATAATATCATCAACAGACTTCTTCGGTTGCCTGTTTCATCCACTCCGAAGTTAGTGGCAGACGAGCGTCGCTAACGCTCGATAAGTCGGCAACTGGAATAACTTTATCCTAGCATTCAGACAAACAGAAAAATTTGCTGCTATTGTACATCTGGCATCATGGATTCCACTAAGAGTGAAATTATTTTTAAAATCTTTAAGCATCTTAAAGATAAATAAAACGTCAACAAATACTTGCGACAAAGTCACTTACAACCCTAGTTGAAATGCAACGTACAATTCTTTTACCCAAAAGCTTGGCATTTATACACAAAACAGTATAGCGCTGATAAACTTGTACACATTATTAACCCTAACTAGCAACAATATTTACAACACAATTATGTAACATAAATAAAGCATAAAATCAGTATTTGCATTGATAAATTATCTAAAAATGAAGTAATTTACATAAACAGAGATTGAGGTAAACGGTATAGATAACAAAGATTGCTAGCGCTATAATCTGAAGACTAAAAGTTACTGCGGCTATCTTTTGTGCAGCGTCTCGGCGTAAGAAGGTTGGTTGTAGTACCAGTATCCTTTGACCATGTCTGCTGCCTTCTCAGCTATCATGATGACAGGGGCGTTAGTGTTTCCCGACACGATAGTCGGCATGATGGAACAGTCCACAACCCGCAAGCCCGACAGTCCGTAAACTCTACGGAAACAGGATACCGCATTTAGAATGAAAATGAACCGCACTGGCATCAAGCCAGGGGTACTTCCTTAATTTTGTAGGCCATCAATTTAATAAAGCTAAAACGATATTTAGAAGTAGCGATAAATGATTTGTCAGTAGTGAAACAAGCAAAAACTTGATCATAAATATAATTCAGAGGCCTTACTTTCAAAATTCGCTAAGTGAACGTAAGTACTTACGCTCTATTTTCTTGTCTCTGATTGGTGGATTTTTCTTGAAAAGCCGTCAATGATTGGCTGATGAACTTACGATCTCTTAACATTTTTTGAAAGTATAGGCCCTGAACTCGAATGATAGTTCGTCCTTAAATTTATTTTAAAAATTTGAAAGTATCACTGTAAAGCTATGACTTTAGATTTTATGGGCAACAATGCATTCCGCACTATTCCAGCGGAAACGCAACACTATGGGAATAAACATTGTCCATTCAACATTAAATATACTTCATCCTAATTCATGAAATGAATACAAAAAATTATTATCCATAATACTCACTTGAGCTCGGGATCGACGACCGCCTCAGGGTCCCAATATGGTCCCATTTTCGCGGTGCCAGAAGGATGGTAGATGGTGAAGGAGGAGTGCCGTGCCAGACACTCCCAGTAGTCGTCACTCCAGGGCTTGACGTGGTAGCAGCCCGGCATGATCACTTCGTACATGCGCGTGCCGAAGCGGCGGAACGCTGGAGTGTGTGCCACTTCAATCGCCAGCTTGATGCCTGAATGTTCGGTGCATGAAAGGTTTTAGCGAGACATAACATAACATAACATAACATAGTGATGTCGCCGCTGAAGTGTAGGCCTGATGTGGCCTGTCGCCGATTCTTTTCCTTTTCGTGCCTTGTTCTGTTGTTCATAGATCTAAACTCGTGTCATTTGACCGGATCTTTTCATGACTGACGATAGTTTAAAGTAGCTACTAGACTTCGTTTGAAGTAGCTACTAGACATGTAACATGATCATTGAGAACGAAGTCATTAACTATATATTGGCTCAATTTAAGTGACTGGACGTTTCGTTGAAGTGAGGTTGTATCGGTTGTAAAATTTAGTTATTAGTCGATTCAACTAGTAGGTATTGCTTGCCTGGATGCTTGACGACATCATGGACAGAGCATTTATATTTACCAAGACGTGGCTTTTCTAGAGCTAGATTTAACGAGTAGTTACTTGCCAAGTGGTCACATTTAAAAAGAAGTCTATTGTATGGAGAATAGATTTAACGAATTATTCTATCTAGATGCTTTATTTGCTTTAAAGGTGTAGACAAATATAATTATAATATGTACATTTCAATCAAAATGTAATTAAATTGTAAGTAAATGAAAACAGAATTTGTATACGAAATAGGAATGACAACATAATGCTTTCACAGAGCTCTGAAATAAACACTCACTGGTGTAGCATCTGAAATTTTCATCTAAAAGATAAATTCAAGGCATGTTCAGAATTACCGACACTAACCTTCGACCATAACTTTCATGTCGTCAGGATGAGTGAAGTAATTATGAAATATGAGAGGATGATCCTGCGGTGATGCGGAGCGCAGTGTGATGTACCCGCGGGACTTTGGTCTCAGCAACATGGGCAGGATGGTGATGGAGTCGCGGTTAGCCAACGGCTTCAGGTAGCCTTCCCACGTCTGCAATAGATTAATGTACATTAGGAGAGTCTTTGAGCTCACGTCAGGGACTGGTGACACTAATTTATTCTGATAACATGACGAGCACAACGCCAATGAGCTCAACAGACATGTTTTTGTTCACAATACAATATGCAGTATTGTTTGCAGAAGGATACATTCGTTTTCTCTTTCGTATAAATTCGCCTCTCGAATCCCAGCCTTCGAATCAGTAAAAGAAACGGATTCTTTGAATCAACAATTCGTCAACAACAACAAAATGTCAACAAAATCACACAGAGGAATTTTGGTAAAAGTAGTGAGACTCGACAGGTACACTCACCCTCTGCGACAGCCCCGACACCTTCATGAGCTGCCGACCTCCGTCAGATGCAACGGAGCCCGAAATAAAATGGTATTCGATGTCTGGGTAATCCTTGGTCTCGTTCTTCATGTAATGGTACTTAGTGTGCACGAAGCCCAAGCCCTCCAAGCCTCCAGGGACCGTCAGAGGTCCTGTACACGTTATTTCATGAAGAATTCGTAAGACATTAAAAGTCGTTTTATTTGTTTGAAACTGGTATTCTGAAGAAAGCTTGTGTATACAGCATCTCAATGGCGATGTGAGAATTAAATGTTAGTGAATATCAGAATATCAAGAGTGGCAGCCATTTTCCACACAAGAAGCGGTCCGGAGCAAACGCTTCGCTCTTCAGGGTTCTAAAACTGAATAAAATATCAGGTTTGAAATATTCATGACATAGTAAAATTAAAAAAAAAAGCAAGACAACTTCCGACACTTATGGTATTTTTTGAAACACATAGCAGTGGTGATAAAGACACAATGGCAGCCCTATAACTAATAACAATAGAGTCAGACCTTCGCCATGCAGAATGTACTTCATGAGCGCCCAGAAGTTCTCGTATCGCCGCTGCACAATCGAGACCTCCGCTTCTACGGGGAAGACGAGCAGCCCCGTGCTGATGTGGTCCTGCAGGTTGTGCCCAACCGGCAGGTCCTGGATCACTGGAATCTGACCATCAATAACATGTCAAAGATCGTCAGCGGAAAAAATGACAATGTTTTTAAATTGGTGACGATACGATATGGTTTTATAATAAAACTTATGAACACGATAGTCAGCGGAAAAATTGACAATGTTTTTAAATTGGTGACGAGACGATATGGTCTTATAACAAAACTTGAAAGTCCAGATTTTTATATTTCATATTGCAACAAAATTGTAATAGGTATTGACGAGATTGACAAACCCCGTGTTCCTGTAGGTGATACTTTGGCCCAACCCCCGACAGCATGAGGATTTGGGGGGAGTTGACCGCACCTGCGCTGAGAATGACCTCCTTCCGCGCCAGCACCGTCTGCACCAAATCGTACTTTGTCAAACGTACGATATCAACGGTGAAGAATTATCTTCACTGTTGCAAAATGTTTAGGGTCACTCCAGACGATAAAAAAGATATATTCAAAAATAGAGGATTAGGTCGAGTAGAGAATATATTATCGGAAAGTGAAGACTAGATCGTCTTAACCTGATATATATTATAATAGAATATCTTAGAAAAAGATACAATAGTTTTGTGCTGACACTATTCTAATGCGAGTAAAGACTCAAATGCGACTCTGAAGACCAGCACTCAGGGGTTGTTAAAACTTACGTGGAATTTATAGTTCCTGAAATATTCGACTCCATATGCACGTCTCGTGACTGGGTTGATCAGGATCTAAAGTACAGAAAGTCGTCAGGGGTTAAAGGGGTTGAGGTTACAGGAGTTACAGGGGTTTGAAAATTCAAAAGTTTGAAACTTTACCTATTAATTCAGCACTCTTTTCTAGCCTCAAGTTCTTTTAAGAATGTCAATCACAACACAGTATTTCTACTTCAAAATCAAATATCAAATTTATCAGTAGCCAAATTTTAAAACTCAGTTACTAAACGCTTAACCAAGTCGATATAAATATTGAATGGTATTGAATAACTCTGCCCCTCATTTCTCTTCAAGACTTACTTCCAAATTTTGCGAAATTTTCTCACAATTTAATAGCAGATAAACTGAGAAATGATAGTAACACTCAAAAAAATAAGCGTGACTTTGACAAAATTTGTGCCCTTGTATCGGTCATCCAGACCCAGTTTGGGCGGCGAAAAATCCGCGTTGTATCAATTCTCTGCTCGTGCTTTAGGTGAGTAAATGTATCACTACTTCGCTATTAGGACCCATCGTTCCATTGAGTGGACCCCGAGGACCCGCACCTTGGTGACGAAGGCGCGCATGGCGATGTGGAGGTTGGGCCTGCCCACGGCGGGTCTGAGGAAGGCCTTCGCTGTGGAGCACCTGGACCCGTCCCGCATGGTCGCTTGTGGGTGCATGAAGCCTGGGCCACCACAACCAACGTCAAAACAACACACAACACAACATACACACAAACAACGAAACTAGTTATTAGTTATTAACAACAAAAATAAACACAGGTTATACGAGAATAAACAAAATTAACAAGCAGTAAATATTACGTGTAGAATAAGCTAATGAAGAAGGGAAAGATTGACGCAAATAAATAAAATACAATGAAAATTCATTACAACAAATATGCACTGACAAATGAGAACAAACTAAACAGAATAAGGCCTCCTTGCATGTCTTATACCATAATATAACTTATATACCTGCAAATAGCATCTCTTAGTTAAAAATAAAACGTTCGCTTTATCGCGGATTCGAGCAACAGCAAAACTCTACAGAGTTGCATCGCTGCATTAAATATAAAGTGGCCAATAGCAGCGCAGATACAACATAAAACAAAATCAGCAAACAAACGCTCATGCATCCATTGTCATGTGATCAACCAACGACCCACGCACGATCAAGAAGTGCAAGGCGTCGGGGCGCCACAAGTGGAACACGCCATACGGAGACCATGTGATCCAGCCGGCGTCAGGCACCAGGGAACTCGTACCGTTATTGATACAAGGTAATTATGCCGCGGGTACTATTATCTTGGTGGGTAAATGATAACAGTACTCGTCTTCAATGCACTCACAGTCTGGAGGAATTGTCAACGACATCGGAACAATTGGAAACTTTTGCAAAAAGAACAAGCGCATGAAAGAACAATCACCTCTGGCAAGAGATCTGTAGCTGCGTTTTCAAACATGGATCAGAATGTTATTTCAATGATCTTTTTTTGTTCCCCGTATATCAGAATGTTATTTCAATGATCTTTTTTTCGTTCCCCGTATAACATGAAATCATTTCAGACTTTACGATATCAAGACGCAAAAATAAGCGACAAGTGATGGCAGAGATCTGAGTGCGGGTGATGGGCAGAGCGGTAGGGGATGGTCGGCGCGCATCAGGCACGTCTGCTACGCGCGCCATATGAGCAGCAGTTCTACGGCATCTTGTTGGCCGTAACGGGAAGACCAACGCCGGGGCAACGGTCGGCCTGATGAACACGTGTGATCCCGCAGGATAAAATAGAACGACCACAAGCGTCATGTGATGCAAGCAACTTCATAGCGTGATGCATCACATATCATCACGAATAAAATGTGAATTATCGTCATTGCGCTCTGGCACGACCACATCATTCTGCTGACGAGTGCAAATAATGACGCTGCCTTTGCCTATAAAATGAAACAGGTAATTAGGTCTCGGGGTTGCAGTGAGCGAGGCGAAAAAGAGCCATGAACCGTTCCTGAGTTCTCGAGGCGATGTAAGAAGAACAGCAGTGAATTGAAGTAAATGAGTGCTGCGCAATCCATAGCCTCAAGATACGATACAATACAAGTAAGGAGATTGACCTTGAATCAAACGAGCCTTTGAATTATTACAAATATTCTCAAAATCAGAACATAATATCGAATGAACTATAGGATATTCAATATGAAATCGGGAGAATTCCGATTCAAAATCACACGACGAAACAAGAGTACACTACAAAACCCAAAAATTTGGCAGAAGCGACCGAATGACCACAGCCTCGTGATAAACAGTCGGCTGCATTCACAACGTAAGCCAGGTCACATGTCAGCCCCACAGGTCACACATCAGCCACTCAGCCCCACACAGTTCCTCGCGACCAAACAGAAGCCACTGCGTTCGCCAGCGTGTGTAAGATAATCTCGTTAATTTGACTGCCAAGGCAAATGAATAGAGAAAAGCGTCACTTGTCGACCAAATAGCAAATAATTCTCACACTCCAGAGTTTATTCCCTGGCCACAACAGTCAATCCAGTACGTTACATCGTCAACAAAAAGCTGCCTATACTACCGCGTCGAAGAGTTTGATGCAAACCACGATGAATACGCGCGTTCTACTTCTAAGTCATCAGGGACAGGAACATAGCAGAAGAAATGGCAAACGTCAATCTTACCTTCCTCAACGACGCTGGTGGACTTAACAGGACAAAATTTAAGTAAAATTAATCAGAAATACATGGTATCTTGATGTCTATATCGCTGATAAAGGGCCTCCGAAAAATGGTATTCGGCGCACATATGCGGGTATTGTTGCTCGGTGAACAAAAAAAGGCAGCGAAGGTGAGCATATACTTCTCTGTCAACAAAAAAGTGCCTTTGGTAAGTAATTAGCAATATTTTTAATTTTTCTTTTTGCCTTCCGCAACCAAACGAAAAATATTTCTATCTTAGTTACACATGATGATCGGTGACAAGGATGGACATACGCCAACCATTTCACTTTCTATTGATATTAGTTCGCTGTTCAAATTGTACGTTAATATGCAAGAAATACACCGTATTGCGCGAAATTAACTGCATTATAGTTTCTTATCCAACTATAAACTGATGCATATAACGCATCAGTGACAATCTGCCAACATAATTTAATTTATCTTCTAAAAACTATAAAGCACGAGCCGGTCATGTTAACGGTTACTTGGCAATTTGAGACTTAAATATATAGATGTTGGGGTGAGACTGCAGATGCGTTCCTTGCAGGAGAGTACAGAGCAACGTTGCCGGGAGCAAGACTGAATAAATAAAGCGGGACTGGGAGGCCGGCTGCATTGCTGGTCCTCGCAAATAAGGCGGTCGTGAAAGCGTCAGGGCGTCGCGCGCGGCATTTTTTCCTCTGCTGACAGAACCAAGCCAGGGAGCTGCATTCGGCGCGACGCCTGCTACTTAAACTAATAGGGTTGGTATTTAATCCTCGTCAAAAAATATCCTATACATTTAGGGTTATTGGAACTAAAGTCTCGTCACAACAGTTCTCTGTAGTAATTCTGCTTGCCACTTCTAAGTTTGAGCTCACTTTAAAAGAGATTCTCGCATTGGTGTGGAAAACTGTGGCATTCTATTAGTCCCTGTAGATTTTATGTGGGACTGCGAATAATGCTCTGAATCTCGTATAAATTTCCTGACATAAGAGGAAGCATGAACAGCATCCGGACAAAACTCACCGGACTGGAATTCTGCGTTATAGTCCCTGTTCTTGAAGCCCCGCTGTACCCCTGCCTCCACCCAGGCGTCCCCCAAGGGCGTCCTCCAGGGCGCCTCCATCACCGTCAGGTACCCGCCCGTGCCGTGATAGCGAGCTGCACGATAGCTTATTTTGTCAGCAGGATAGGAGGGCACATGGTTTCAACGGCACTGGCAGACTATACTGGTACCAAAGTTGCAGCGACACTGGCAGACTTTAGTGGCACCAAGGTTAGAGTGTCAGTGAAAAACTTTAGTGGCACCAAGGTTCCACCAGTGGCACAAAGGTTGCAGCGGCACTGGCAGACTATACTGGCAGTCTGGCACCAAGGTAAGAGTGGCAGTGGAAAACTACAGTGGCGCCAAGGTGCCACTGGCACTGGCAGACATAGTGGCATTAAGGTTCCAGTTGCACTGGTCAGGCGCCTGGTTTCCCATGCAAGCCCCAGAAATTCTTTACTTTATCCGTAGTTAATTCAAACGCTATAAAGTATAAACCTGATGGTTAATTTTCTATCATATGTTCCTAGAAATGCGTAAGGTGAAATGAGCACATCGGAATACACTAAGGGTACTCGTAATTATTGACAAACAGTTTATCGCTACAAATCAAACGGCCAGAGGGCGGTTGCCGTTGCACTTTAGTTATGTACTCACTGTTGAGGGCGAGGAAAGGATTCCTGTTGTCCTCGGACTTCCTGAAGTATGGAAGGATGGACTCGAAGTCCCAGCCGTGGTTGCCCATCTGCGCCCATTTGTCGTAGTCGTGACGGTTGCCGCGTACGTACATCATGTAGTTGAGCACCGACGAGCCTCCCAACACCTTGCCGCGCGGCCAGTTGCAGCGCTGACACCAGCATCATATTATCTTTCATCTTCATTCGTATTATTCTTCATCTTCACTTCATTCATATCATACTACATCTTTATAATAAACAAGTGGATTTATAATTTCAAACGGGTCGAGCCTAATCACATTCAACACCTAAGGCACAAAGCGCTACTGATGCACGTATATTCAAGCCAACGTCAAGACAAACAAAACTTAATAAATAGATATTAGATGTATTTACTCACTCTGCCCGCCATGCCCAAGCACGCCGAGTTCTGCGGTTCGGTCTTGTATTTCCAGTCCATGTCGGTGAGCTGCAGGAAGCCCGCCATGACGGGCACGTCGGTGATGTCGGTCTCGTCTATGCCCGCCTCCAGCAGCAGCACCGACGCGTCGGGTATCTCCGACAACCTGCTCGCCATCACCGCCCCCGCCGACCCGCCGCCGACTGTAACATAGAAGAAATAAGTGTTAATTTCAAGTTTAATCAATTAGAACATGTCAAATACTACACTTTGCAAGCACTTGATTGTTTTTAGCGCATTTTCTCATTTATGGAAAAAAAGCGCTATTGTGCTCGTGCCCGTCCGTCTGTTTGTCTGTCCGTCCGTGACTTCACGCTTTCGTCGACGAGAAAATGCGCTCTGTCACTCACTGCAGTGAGTACTGAGTTATATTTTTTACCTTTACCAAATTACATTTCGTGAATAACTCATTATAACTTGTACATCAGAGTACAATTACTCTCAATAGGTTTCTAACTCAGTTCATTGAAGTAGCAATACAGTCAATTAATAGTGTCACTTGGATGCATTTCCACATACAATCAAGAACAAAGCTACTTTTCTAAATTATTTCAACGTTTCTTACTATTAAATAAAATTGGCTTCGACATTAGAGGGTAAGGTAAAAGGTACAAAGTCACTCTGTACCTCTATTAATGGATTTAATGTTGATTTCAATTCATTTAATTAATCCTAGTATTAGCTCACGCACACCATCGCTCGCGATCTGAGCAAGAAGAACATGCAAGAACACGAGTATGCAAGAACATGAGTATGCAAGAACATATGCAAGAACACGAGTATGCAAGAACACGAGTATGCAAGAACACGAGTATGCAAGAACAAGAGTATGCAAGAACGAAATTTACTGCGTTCAAAGAAAGTCCATCAGAGTGCCGGCGAGGAAGCCACGTGCTCGATCATTAATAGCCTCAAAAATAAACTGGATCTCTTCAAGCAAACCCGAGCCATTCGTAAAAACTCGTCAGTCGTTGCATGCTCTTACCTCATGACAAGAAAGCGATAGGCAAAATTGTAGTTGCTGATGAAATATGAATGCCTTTTTCTCGTTAGTAAAAACTGCAACGCCGATTCTGTCGTCGCTAAAACGAACTAAAAAGATGAGCTAGAAACCAAGGATAGAAACCAAGGATTAAATTCGCACGGAGTGCATTTCAAGAGTGTTTGTTAAGAAATTTGTTTAGTGGTAGCATTCTTACGCAACATTCCATACTCAAACACTAATACTGTGCATTGAGATGAGTATGAACTAGATTATGAACTATGAACGTTCCTATGCGCAAAACACAAAATTCGATAGACTTTCCAGTATGGCAATTTCATTATTGTACCAGTAACAGCACCATGCAGGCAGGATAGACAGCGTAAGCAAAAAGTGATCGACTGAAGCTTTGCATGTCCTGTTCGTGTTACAGCAAAGCCACGCAGACTGCACGGACGACCAATTTCCAGCTCGTCGTGGAATTGAGAGTCAGCGCAGAGAAAGTTGTGTTGCTGATCACTCTTTAAATACACCCCGGAAATTCACTCATTTTCTACAATTCAAAGCATACTGACAGCATTGAGAAGCTAGGTTGCAACGACTCTGGATACGGTTTCTGGGTGCGTTAGATATAAATCGCAGCACGGTGAGCGAGGACTTATACAAAATGTATAGGTATCTGACGCCCATCGTAGCTCAGTAGTCCGCTAGAGATTTCAGCCTCACACTGATTTTGATCCACTTGATATATGTAAAAATTCTACAATTAGAACTAGGAGCTAGAGATACAGTGAAAGCAATACAGTGTCACCTTCGATCTGCAAGCAACATAGCAAATCCGACAGAGTTGTATTGATAGAACCAGCTTTGCAGACTGTAAAGAATCGACTCATCGAGTTGTGAGAGTGCAAGTATAACGCCTGGAGACATAATACTTCGTTTAAAACGCATTAGAGGCCCAATCAGTCACTCCAGTAGCTTTCTCTTTTCATGAGCTTGCTTCAGCCTAAAGGACAGGCGCCCAATTTAACCGGCAATGCCGAAGCTTTTACAATGCAAGTACGTACAATATGATCTAGAGGTGAGTATGAAAATATAGAAGGAAGGGTTTTCGACAACAAATATGAGGAAACATGAAAAAAAATACAAATGAGGCTTTTAAAAATGATACTTGAGCATTTAGCAGTTTAGCTGCATAGAACAATGTTACGTTACGAAGCCAAGAATATATACGGTGATGCTGGCTGGAGTCATTTGGCATAGCATGTGAGAAATTTTTGTCATCACCGATAATTAGCATTTCGCGATTATTCAGCGCTTAGCAGACCGGTCTGGATGGGTGCGCTGCAAACTGCTTTTGTCTTCATCTTCATTTCACTTGGTTGACATCAACTCTATGTTTATGTATTTGCTACTGTAGGAATTCAGACTTGAGCTTAAGATTATTTAGACTGCATCAGCGAAACGCAGCACTTTAATGCCATATGAAAAATAATCAGAAGAATCAAATTGTCCGGCCGAGGCTGTTCAGACTAGAAATTTATTCAGATTTATGTCTAATTATACTTAAAACTTCACCGAATTTACATTCAATGATACATCGCATTTAATTCTATATTATAAACCAATTTCAAGTTATATGCATTTATGGGTTTGCACAATTCGAGCGGCCAGTTCACTCATTATACTATCCCGGACAGCGCAATACTACTAGTAATTGAAATCTTCCAGCTTCTCTTGAAAATTTAACACCTTCCTCTGACTATTCTGTCTATATATTCTTATATACTACCCATCTTACCAATTTCACTCGAAATTCCAAATTACTCCCTTATTTCACTGGGTCTGCACCTGGGCATTTAAAACATCAGGTCGACTATTTATTTTCAATAGTTTAGTGCGTGCTTGAATACCTTAAAATCCAACCATGATTAGCTTGATGGTCGAGTTTACCACTTTATTCATTCACCAACAAAAGATAAATATAATATTTTTGAAAAGTTGAAGACGTTGCATAGGGTTTCGTCATTTTATTGGGCACAACTACAAAATTATCCTACGAATGTGCTATGACAGACACACAATACGAATACTGTCCATCACAGTTACGAAGTTTAGAACACGCACGCAATTCGAGATATTTCAGCAGCTAGCATTGAATAAGTGAAGTTTAAGCAAAATAAACATCCATATAATAATATTGATTACAGTATTAATGATATATAATCGTATCTTCCTATAAACAGTCAATTAACAAAAGTTCCGTCGCTTTGCGGCCAATAGTCCATAATAATGAAGAGAAGCCACAAAGTTGCCAGAAAGTTCTGATATTAGAAAGTCTAGTTTTGAATAATTTCAACGTTTTGAATCACGTTTTGAATAATTTCAAAATAACAAAAGATTGCGAAGAGAACAGAATCAGACCTGGCAGCTGGATTTTCTGACGCAACTGTGAGCCAGACGCGAGCATTGCCGCCTGCTAAGGCCTCCACTGCACACCCAACCTCACTTTCCAAACACTAATGAACGTCAAATAGAAAATTACAGCCATTAGAGCGCAGAATTTGCCTTAATATAACAATGCCAAGGCACAACGCACGGAAATACAGGCGTGTAAGTGCGGGTGCATGCAGTCGGCACGTAAACTGGTACGTGGTGATTGAATGCACACCACACTGGGTGTGCATTCAATCATGCTAATTCAAGGTGCATTCAAGATGCTAATCTTGATTGTTAGCGGGTTAAATGTACTCGTGGTTGTTCAGAGCACCACGGGCGATATGCAATAACAAAATTCGGTTTTGAACAAGTGCGCCAAAGATACTCACTCCTACTATACGAACCTATACGAACGAAAGCAGCTTGAAACGATGTTTTCGTTCCAAGCCGAAATAGAAGCTTAGTTAATTTTGGCTATGTTCGTTCAGGAATCCAAGAGAGTGTATAAGCGTGATGAGCAGTTACTAAAATACTAATTTGCGTCCCTAAAATTATGATATTAATAATCAATATAAGGCCTAGTGAAGACCGGCGTGCAGCAGGACACATATCTTTTCGTAGACGCTTTCTCTACGACTGGCTTGCGCAAACGCCGGCCTTCCTTCCCTGCCACACGTTCTTGTTCTACCGTGTTCCCGCTGGAAGGGATTCCTAACACACATTACCACCGTATGAAATTCTAATCACGTTCTCACCGCCAGAAATTCCTGTCGCATGAATGGCTCCAACGAAAAAAATTACAATACGGCAACATTTAAGATAAGAATCGCTGTCCCAGGTCCAATTTTACCCATAGAAACATCCATGTCAAAAGTTTTTTATGCAAGTTCTTGACATAATCATTACTATCTTGAATACCTAGTACACGTGGTTGTGGTCATTAATTGAAGAAATTATCATTTATTCTAAAAATTATCATTCATTCTCATTTTAAAAATGAAGGAGAAGAGCACGAGGTCTATTGACATGCAAGTATGGTCAGCAAAAAGACATCAGCTAACTGCACACGACACAGCGTAGAGCTGCGGCGGTTTCATCAACGTAAAAAACATCTCCCGCCGTCTGTACTGTGACCCATTGAGCAGCGATGCTCTTCAACAAGCAAGGCTCGCACAATACATCGTCAATGTGTGATTTCTGTACACAACGAAGTCGTATTGTTGAGAGATAAAATACAAGATCGCAGCAATGCATGTCATTAAAAACAGTCAAAAGCTTTTATAAGCACATTGAAGAGAAACATTGAAGTTTACGTACGATATTTGAAGCTTACAAACAAAAGAAAACCGAGTGCGAGCTTTGTGTCGTGAGCATCATGCATGTACAAATCAATAGGTGATCAAACAATCAAGCAAAATTCTATTGTTTCCGATAAATCTAGGGGGAGTTACGCTGTGCAACTAAATGTCAGCATTCGTAGTGTTTATTTAACGAAGTAAGAACTCAAAGCTGATTTGTAGTACATAATGGTTACGAATGAGTCTTAATTTGTTTGGAAAATTACAAAAAACGTTACAGTTAATTCCAAATAGGAGTAATCAAAGGGGAATTCATCGTTCAAACGAACCATGACCACTGAGCAGAGCAACACTTTGCCTCTATAGACACTCATGAGGTAGAGCATTAATTCACATTTGATGGCTGAGTTTTTAATGAAACAAT